TCCTTCAGGTAAAAATGAGATCCATCGAACATCCTGACGCTGAAATCTCCTGATGTCATTTCTTTCCAAGCTGTAAAAAAAAAAAAGATGAATACAATTAAGTGAATACTTTATGAACAGGGACACAACCTACACAAATGGTATTCTTTTATTCATAATCTTCTACATACAGAGGGAAAAACATCAAATCGCTAGGCCACCTGGACCCAGAAGATTTCTGTTAACACTAATTATTATTATTATTATTTGTAAGGTTTATTTTGGGGCTTTTTGTGCCTTTATTTAGAGACAGGACAGTGGAGAAAGTCTGAAATCAGAGAGAGAGAGAGAGAGAGAGAGAGAGAGAGAGAGAGAGAGAGTGGGGAATGACATAAAGGAAAGGAGTCACAGGTCGGATTCAAACCCAGGCCGCCCACTTGGAGGACTATGGCCTCCGTACATGGTGCGCACACACTAACCACTTCACTACCGACGACCCCCAGTGACACTAATTCATGTTTTAAAAATTAACATTGTACAGGCAACACCCACTGTCTGTCTGCTATGCGTTTATTACTGATCATAGCGAGTATGTAATAATCAGAGGTCTGACCATGCAAGTCGTGAGGAACGTCGTCCTTCCCGTCAAAACAGGTGACCGGGCAGGAGAGGAATGGTTTGTCCGGCTTGCTGCACCTGCAGGAAAAATAAGAAATCAGCATCATTAAAAACATTCACTCTGAATCATTCATTAATCCAAAGGTAACAGACAAATTGAGATTGAATGAAGTGACAGAGTTGTAAGTGCACCTGTAGTTTTCCACTACGTGCAGGTCGGCCTTCAGGGCGGGAAGGAAGAGTTTTAGTACTTCAGGCTTCGCCAACAGCTCAGGAGGAGTTCCTCCATTCGAAGTCAACCACGTGAGAAAATCCTCATCAGACAGGTCGCTTCTCTTTGGGGCTTTGATGCGAATCTCTGACTGTAGAGGACAACATATTAATGGTTCATTATGAACACCTGTATTCTGTTAAAGAGACCTATGACTCCGTGTTCAGCAGTTTGAAGAATAAGAAGCAGATGTTTTAGATGTTGGACCATCAGAAGATAAGATTTGATTCCAGACCATTTTCTTAACTTCGTCTCAGTGAGAAGGGTTTGTTGGGTCACGAGTGTTAACATGTATTACTCCTCAACCATGTCCATACAGTTAAATATGTTTAAGACTGTGATCCTTGAAGTGGGGGGGACGCACAGGCAAAGAGTTGCCTTTGGGAGGGGAGACAGCCTGGATGCTACTGTGTGTGTTTTTACCTGGAGGACTAATAATAATAATAATAATATAATAATAATAGACTCCATTTTTAGCTTCTTTTTTCATTTAAAACAAGTCTCAGGGGTGACGGATAGCCAAGGGCTTATGATGCTCGCCCCATGTACGGAGGATATAGTCCTGTTTGTAGTGACTGTGGGTTCTAATCTGACCTTTGACCTTGCTGTATGTAATCCTCCACTTTCTCCTCCCAACATGCCTCTCTGCCTTCAGCTGTCCTGTCAAACAAAAGCTAATACCTCAATTTACTTAAATAGCACCTTTAATTTAATGTTTGCACTGCCTGTTATTTAATGTCTGTTTTTGATAACTCTGCACGATCTGCTTTTTAAACATTGCTGTACATATGTAAACAACACAACTTGAGAAGGTCAACACTTTTTTACTTTTTATATTCAGGTCTAATTACAGATTTTTTTTCCTCAACTGTTTTTAGGTTCTTGCTTTAAATGTCACATATATTTTCATCCCTGCTCGGGGTTATGTACATTTCTTGTATAAATCTATTTTTAACTGCACAGTTTGATCCATCGAGGGGGATTCTTTAAATCTTTTTTCTGAGAGCACTGACCTCCATCTGTGAAGAGGCTCAAGACTTTTCATCTACTTTACTGGTTAATATGTTTTTATCTCCGAGGACTTTTGACCTGAGAGGTTGTACGCCTGGGATGTGGTTTTGTTTATTACATTTTTTTATTGCTAATTTGGACCTTTATGTGTGAAATAAGGAAATAATATAAAGTATTCATTCATTTTTTTCTTTACGACATAGTTTCAAGACTGGTTTGGGCACAGGTGACTGACAGGTAGCGGATAATCGTGGCTACAGGAAGCTAAATGCAATAACTGAACTCACATAAGGCGCAGAGGCACCGGACAGGAAGATGTGAACTGGTTCGATGTTGTGCAGTCTCTTCAGAGCGTCTGCCACAGCGAAACTTGTGAAGGCACCAAAACTGAAACAGATCAGGAAAGTTGAAACACTGATAGAGAAAAGTGTCGGTATGAAAATAAAACGATGAGATACGTTAACTGAGCTGTGTTGTCTTATAACCTATTTAACATTACTTGTTAAGTAAGTATATACCTGTGGCCAAACAGAGCAAATGGCTTCTCTTTCAGCACTGGTAACAACACGCTGATGACCTCGTCAACAATCTGCTGCATGTTCTGGAAAAACGGCTCTTTGGCTCGACTCTCTCTGCCGGGAAGTTTGACAGCGAGCACTAAAAGTGAAAGAAAAGAGAGTCAAATACATTTAATTCAAAATTACAATCGTGCAAAAACATGTGGAGACTTTGAGATCAAAGTTCAAGGGCCTCATTGAAAGGTTCAAACTCCCATATTATGTTTATTTTTTTTGGCAGATTTCTTGATTTTGTAAAAAATACACGACTAAATGTTATCTGAGAATTGTACATAAAGAGCAGAGAGGAAACACAGGCACTTCTGCATTTTCCTTGCAGGTGTTTTACCCTCTATGGAGCTGTTCAGGATGTTTCCCCAGCGTGCATAGTGTACGGACCCTCCACCTGCCCAGGGGAAGCATATCAGCCTGCTCACAGCATCTGGCCTCTTCTTAAAACAGTTCATCACCTTCTCCATCCTAAGGCAACAAAACAACACTTATTCACATCTGATGGGACTGTACTTTACACTCACTGAGAGATCATGCATGCCATACTGAAGCCCTGCACCAAAGCATTTCACCTTAAAGCAAAGGTGCTTTAAACATGTATGAGCGATGATGAAAGTCTGAGGTCTAACCTGTTTGTAGAGCCATAAAAACCTCACAGGAGAACAGAAGCAAATCCTCTGTGATACTTCCTGGTTATTTTCTTCTGTGGTAAATGTATGAAGCTGTTATATTGAATATATGGATTAGGAGGACATCTACAGCTTGGACTGTGTAGTTACAAGCAAACATGCAGTTATCGATAGGTTTAAATGTCGTCATTGATACGCACATTTTCCGCCTAAGACTCGGATACTTTGAAAGAAGATACATTAAAAGTATCTCTAATACAAGCAGTTATTTTCAAATCATGACGTAAATAGTTGAGAAAAGTTCATCGGAAGTGACGTTGTTTTCTACAGTTGGAATTTCCTGACGGATTTCCCTCGGTGGAGGAGCAGGAACAGCTTCGTCAAGTTAGACAAAATAAAACAGGGTGTAGAAATACCACGATGTCAATTTGTCACATTTAGAAGCTAGAAGAGCAAAATCAACGAAGATGGCAAAAGTAATCTTATATCTTTAAATTGAGGAAAAATTTTGATTCAACATAAACATGAATGACCCTCCTAATCTTGAATACACCCTTTCAGATTCTGCATTCAAATGTTATTCAGATTAAGGCCTGACTAAGATATCACTTTACAGAATATGTACTCAGGGTATTAACAGTACGAGTGTTTCATACACAATATGCCTTTAAGTATATTTATATTATCAGCAAAATGTTAAAACAATTTGAATAAATGTACATACCAGTAGGTAGTCACCGTGGTGGTTTATTGTCTTAAAAAACTGTATTTCCACTTGACTTGCATTCTTCAGAGTTTTCTAATCCAAGTTTTTATTTGTATTATGCACCCTGAAACTATTCAAATACAAAGAAAACTACTTGACGATTATTGAACCACCCCAGGGACGTTTTCAACATATGATAAGGTGTTGAACAGTTTAATGGTGTAGGAGGGGATTCATTTGATTTTAAATTAAATTCTGAAAAAGAAACCAGTGACAACTTGTGTGCACAATAAAATGATCTTGTGCTCAGAAGTTATAATGTTGTATGCACTACAAAATTATCTTGTATGCGCTATAAAATGATCTTGTATGCATTATAAAATCATTTTGTATGCACTATAAAATGATCTTCTGCACCCAAAATAATTATCTTGTACCCTCAAGTTACTATGATGTGGGCACAAGTTATTGTGTTGCACATGAAAGTTAATATCTTGTTTACACAAGTTATTTTATTGTATGTGCAATATAATTTAATGGTGCGTATAAATGTCATTGTGCCAAGAAAGATAATAACTTGTAGTAATAACTTTTTCTGCTGATAATATGTCTACACTCATGCACTTTAACTTGTGTCATTTACGACTCTGTTTTTGCACATTTACATTTAATCTTTCATATTTAAGACGAGTAATGCTAAGTTAAATCTTGGTTGTACATATTTCCATTCTTAGTTTTGATATTTTTAGTGCTTATTTACTTTGTATTTAATTTTATATTGTGTTTAAATTTGCTAATATTGTGTTTTTTGCTCATATTGTGTGTTTGGACAACCTGCTGCTGTAACGCCACAATTTCCCAGTTTGGGATCAATAAAGTAATTCTATTACTGTATACACAAGATAATTTTATATTATTATTATTATTATTATTATTATTATTATTATATTTTTTATAATTTTGCAATCATCAGATTTAAAATAAAAACAATTCACAAATTACACTTTCAGGAACTTCAGGGGTTCCGTATCATTTGAATAAAAATAATAAAAAGATATTATGTAAATATATATATATAAAAAAAATATATGTAAAATTGATGCTAAAACATGAACAGTGCACTGCTTCATACTATTTAATCGTTAATCATGCTCTTGTTTTGAAGGAATCTACCGGAAGTCATTATTTTCTATCCTCGCCAGCTTTATAACAGGGAGCAAGAGGGCGGTGTAAGTGCAGATTTTAGACCGGTTTCTCGCCGATACCGAGAGGGAGGACGCTGGACTAGTGAACCCCCGTCATATCTACTTGCTAAAGCAGAACACCGGATCGACACGTTAACCTGCCGGGACGACGAATTTGACTCACTGTTCCGGTAATTATCCGTACATTTTACCGTGTGTCGAGTTAGTCAGTCAGTCGCTAGTTCCGTCGGCTAACGCTAGCTAACGCCGTTAGCTTACCAACCGCCGCTAACGACTTCGTGAAATGAACCAACTCTGAGGCTGAACTGTCACAAACAATCCCGGCGCTGCTACTTGTCTTATTTTCCTTCCAGATACAACAGCAGAAACTAGAGCGGACGAACCAGGGGACGTTTTGCACAACTTGGAGCTGTCTTTTGGTTAGTAAGGCAGGTTCGGCGGAAAAAGAGGGGGGAGACTTCCAGCCGAGAGGAACCCCGAGCGGCCCGGTTCCACTTCAGCGACCCGAGCCGGGTGGAGCAGGGGGGGGCAGCAGCAGAGCAGCAGCAGCAGCAGCAGCAGCAGCAGCAGCGAGGCCCGGGGGGAGCAGGGGGTTGCCTGTCAGCGGATCTGAAGTCACGTTTTGACCTGCGAAGGGAGAAGTAACAACTGGGTGCCGGGTCATCCGGACTGAGACCTCATGAATGGAAATCGGAACAACAGGTGGGATCCCCCTGACTAATGGCCATGCTGAGTGTGGAGGCTGCTGGGTTATGTGTGGGCAGATATTAAGTTTAACGATTTTGATTGAACATTTTAGGGATTTAAATAGGTTTTCCAGGGCCCAGTTACTACAAATGTAAACATTATTGTATTTTTTTTTAAGACCATTTTGCTATCATGGATCCACTTTTGATCCATATAATAACATTTTTTTTTAAAGATTACAACATCACAACACAGATTACCATCCCTCCAAATGAGACTACATGTCACAATCTAGGCTACTAGCTCTCTAAAAAGGACCAGAAGCTAAACAGTCAGCATGGGGGACACTTCAAGTGATTTTAATTTTAATTTAAGGGAGATCACACACACACACACACACACACACACACACACACACACACACACACAAACAAAAACGTCCATTCTTAATCACTTTCCAGCATTCAGACCTAATTTGAGTAAAATCTGAAATACAGTATACAAAGAAACAAAAAAAAATATATATATATACATACATACATACATATACCTAATTAGCAGACCTGGGACCAAGGTAAAATATCCCAGGTCAGATCTTGTGTCACTGGGTCCAGGTCGACCCATGAAATAATTTTTGAGTGTGTCATAGGGTTTAAACTCCAGTGATGAATGAAAGGTATTGTGGTTTTATTTCGACAGCTATTTTACCAGTCTGCTTCTCAATATGACTTGTTGTTACCTAGTTTGATTACATTTCCTTCTGGTAATCCAGCCTTCCCCTGTCATCATTATTACTTTGTGTCATACACAAATGTTTTGAACATCACACAGTGGAGGTTTGATCTGTATTTAAACTAAAACTCGATTACCAAACCTATTTTTAAGGTTTGATCCGATCGCTACGCTGCGATCTGATTACCTTTTAAACAGAGGCTTTAATGGGCACTGGGCCATTTCCAACAAGGACTTTATACTTGGTTGATTGTTTCTCACTAGTGTTTTCACGGTCACTTTTGCTCTGTGATGTGTGTCAGTGTGCATATGTGAATGTCCCAAACCAGTCTCACGGGTTATTTGTTCTGTCTTCGTCATTCTTTGTCGGCTGTCAAAGGCAGGTGGTGATCCCGTCAGGTGTGTCTGAAGCCTGAGAGTCTGGCTCACATTCAGGGAGGTGTGTGTGTCTTGTGCATTTGAGTGTGTCTTCATATCAGTTTGAAGGGCAGCCTTTCACACCAGCTGCTGCCATAGTTACCCAAGCTATCGAATAATGTTCAGTTAACCGCTGCCTGTGTTAATTAGAAATCAGTTCAGCATGCCAGTGCATTATTCAATTTACTTTGTTGCCAAGGGGCACAGTTTGTGAGTCACGGCTTGTTTATTATTGATGTTGTAGGGGGCCAGTGGTGCACTGGAAAAAGGGTCAAACTGGTTATCAGAAACTGACCCTTTCATACTTCTTACACTCCACCCATTTTTAACCCTAAGAGCAATACAGACTGGAGCCTTATCTGGGAATAACATCGATTTAGAGGTTTTAAAACTGTGTCAGAGTTGTAAATGAGCTTAGCCAATACACTGCTTTTATTTGCCAAATCTGAGTGACACAGATATTCTTAAACGCAGGCCTGCTCCTTTTTAGTAATAAATAATTTACCAGTTTTGTTTAATATGTAAAATTACCCAGCGCCCAGGGGGATGTCAAAGAGCTTGTTTGTTTGGACAACATTCCTTGATTTAAAAATATTTCAGATATTTAACCAGCAAATCTTTGTATTTCATAAGCTGTAGCAAGTAAATGTCTGAGATTTATGCTAATTGAATAACTGAAATGTGCAACCCTGACAGAACGGGGAGTACGGATAATGGATGGATGGATGACTTTAAATACCCATTGTAAACGTTCTAGTTTCTATCAATTTAAATGAAAATCAGAATGTATTCACTATCCTGTGCACCGCAGTGGTTAGCTATATTCCCTTACAGCAAATAGGCCCCTAGTTGAATCCCTGTATGACTGGGTCTTTCTGTGTGGGTTGTGCATGTTCTCCCAGTATATAGTATGTGTGTGTTCCCTCTAGCTACTCCTGCTTCCTCCTGCTTCCTCTCACAGTCCAAAGACACGCTTCTTAGGTTAAGTGGTGACTATACATTGGCCATAAGTGTGAATGTGTGTGTGGCTGGTTGTCTGTCGCTATATGTCAGCCCTGTGATTGACTGGTGACCAGTCCAGGGTGTACCCCGCCCCTCGCAGCTCAAATGACAGCTGAGATCGTCTTTAGACCCCCGCGATCTCAAACGGGAAAATGGTTTTAGATAGTCATATATGCTCAACTCATTTTGGAGGAATTTTTGACAGACTCATGGGCGCCTGTTTAAAATGGGGGGATGGACAACTTAAAGACATGAAACCACAAAGACATACCCCCCCCCCCGTATTTGTCACAGTTGAGCAGCTTGACTGACTGAAGACTTTTCTTTTTATGTCAAGCAGATTGAAGTTTTCCCTCACCATCACAAGTGTTTCATACTTGATGTCTGTAAAGTAGAGGAGGTTATAACAGTTTATTTTAAGTACAACTGAAACACATCTGCAGTCCTCCTCAGCATCGGTGAAGTGATGTCAGGACTGGACAATATTACATCTGTGGAGTACTCTGTGTGTGTGTGGGTTGAATGTCGGCTGTGTGTGGGTTGTGCAGTGCGTTTCTACGATGCAGCGGTCTGATAAGTGCAAATTAATCTCTCCATTGTTGCTCATTTTACAGTGAACCTTTGTGATTTTGGGTCATCACTGGAAGAGGGGTTGCTGTCTGTCTTCTGCATGGAGAAGTGTGTTCTCTATATTACATCAAAGAGAGGCTAGATTCTGTTTTTATTGCCTGTCTTTACTTCTTGTCATAAAAAATGAAGGATTTTATTCTTTCACACTCTTAGGCAGAGCAGGCAGTGGACCTAAATGCCTTTAGTTGTTGACACATGTTAGAGGAGATGCAGAGGCCTTTGACCTCAGAGGGTTTATATCAGGGGGGATCAAGTAGAAACGGATGATTGCACCCGTTACTCTAAATAGATAACTGCGCTGGAAATTATAAACATCAAATCTCAGAAGAAATTAACCAACAAATACAAAAACTCCTGTAGAGGCCTTTACAACATGAAGAAGTCATATCAACAGATGTGGATTTTTTTGGATCACACATCTCACGGTTGGTATTTAATCACAGATTCTGATCACTGAACGGGTTGTTTTCCAATTACGTTAACACAAGATGTTAAATAAACCAGAACCTGTTGTGTTTTATATTAAAAATCTTCAACATTTTGATAACGATAGCTATTTGTTACCCCCCCAACTAAGAACAAACACAACAGAAACAGATCATTTTGATTTCTTCTTTTAATAAGCAGTAAAAAAAACATTACTGAATCCTGATGATTTTCAGAATAGTCAGTTTTCTTCTGTAGTTGACAAACATCTATAAACCAATTATTGAAGCGCTATGGTCTGAAAATAAATGACCATACTGTAAACACACAGTGACATACAGTTAAAAACAGGCTCAAAATAGTCGGTGTTTTTGTCTGCAGAGTCTCCAGATGAATGAGACAAATTTTTTGTGCAGCTGTTTTTGTACCTCCTGTCGGCGTGCCTGTAGTTTCCATGGAGAAACTGTTGCAAAATGAGTGTCGTCTCCATGGCAATGGCACAGGGGAGGAAGCGACCAGGGGATGCAGACAGATAACACCTCGAGGCAGGTTCAGGGTCAGCTCTCGACCCCGGACAGAAACTTCAGTCTGATACAGTTTTATACTTCCCCCTCACGGCTGCTCTAATGCGCTGATTTCAGTGTTTCCCTCAGTCTTTACTGTCAAACACACACCTCCTGATAATTCACCAGCTTGTACTCTGTGTGTATGTGTTGAGTAGACTGATGTGTTAGTCACTGTTGTGTATGTGGGTCTTCTGAGTCACAATTGTGGAAATTGTGTGATGTCATTTCATTTCTTTCACCGAGTACTTTCCAGTTTGGCATTTATAAAAATTGGTGTCAAGTTGTTGTGGTGTGTCAGCCGCCTACTTTTCCTCCCGTCTGGCAAAGGCCGTGTCAATCAGGAGAATTCATCCTTTTATTCAAAATGTCACCAAACCCTGTAACCTTTTTATACGGTCATTATCAGATCGGCGCGGGGAAACACAGCGTTGGCCCGTTTTTGTTTCAGCTCAGTCAGTTTGATATGAGGAAGTCGTTCAACGTCCCTGACCATCTTCAGTCCCGTCACACACACCTTCTGCTCGTTCCTCCTTATTAACCGCTTCCTTCCTACAGTTTGTGGTCTTCACAGAGCTCTCTGCTTGTATGAAATCATCATAGATAGTATTCAGGATAACTTGTTTGGGCTCTCTTTTAGCTATTTTGAGACATTCAATTTCGGTTTAAAAGTCAGAAATTTTGCTTAAATTATAGAATGTACATGGAGAAGATATAGATTTTTGGTATTGTTCAATTAAAAAAAAAAAAAAAAATATTGAGGATGAGAGACAAATACAGTTTTTCTCATGAAATAAATGCAACAAAATCAAAAGAATAACTTGATTAACTAAATCAAACAAACTGATCTTATTTTAATAAGAGTAAAGATGCATCTATTGTGAAAAGCTGGGCCGATACAAATAGAAATGTTTCAAATAACAATTTAGCTGTTTCTGGTGTCTTTTCCATTACTTCCTTGTATCCAAATGATCTATGAAATTTCCTCTTTAATGTCACTGGAACATGTTCTACAAACTGCATGTCGCTGATCTTTCCCAGAGACGGTGTAGACCAGGGATGGGCAACTTTGGCCACATTCATTTAATTCTCCCTGCCAAATGGCCAAATTGTAGAATACAAAAATGAATAAAATCAATTATGTCTCAAATTTAACACAACATATGCCAAGGATCAAATATTATTATGGACATATTTCTGGTTTTCATGATTTCATGGCAGATTTTGTCACATTTCTTTCATGTTTCCAATTAATTGATATGTACAAATTGACGTGAGGGCCACATTGAGGGATGATGGGGACCGCATGTGGCCCCCGGGCCGCCAGTTGCCCATCCCTGGTGTAGACAATAAGGATTTGTCAGTCAATAAATGTGCAATAATTGATCCATTTTGGCCTCTAGGGGTCAGTAAAATAAGCTGTAAACACTCAATTGACCTGCAGTATATTTCCACCTATCTAATATGGGAAGCAGTTCTTGTAACAGTTGTCGACTTAGGCTGTAAATGATTGCTCAAATGTTACTAAGCTAGTTTCTTTATATCACTACAGTTTGGTGTTTGTCAGTTTGTGGATATCAGGTGTTTGAAGCTTTATTGAATAGACCTGCTGCTAAAAACTAAGCTAATAAGATTGATTAGAGTGATTGATTTAGCACTAAACAATGGCTCAAAGACTCCAATTCTGTGTGAAGCTCTGAAGAACTTCAGATTCAAGAGACATTTTTCTGAAGGTTTATCAGCGTGAGTGACTCGTTTCACAGCACATGATTCGACTGTTGGTAGCACCTTAAAGTATGCACATCAACACTTACATATATTATACTTTAATATTCAGGAAACAGTATGATTATGATTACTGCAACTGTTTTGTACGTTTTCAAAAGGACAGGATGTAAAAACGTATTTAATTTTGGCCTGTGTTCCTTTAGGAGACGCTGGAGCCCAAGCCCTTTTTTCGCTGCCACGTCGACCTGGCTATGGCACCATCGGGAAGCCCATCAAGCTTCTGGCCAACTGTTTCCAGGTGGAAATTCCCAAGATCGACGTCTATCTCTATGAGGTGGACATCAAGCCTGACAAATGTCCTCGCAGGGTCAACAGGTAGGGAATCTATTAACATATCAACACTTCCCTTTCTTTTTACTTTACTCTTATAATGTCATACTTTACTGTTTGCAGATTCAGATATAATGTTTTGTTGTTTTGGGTGGTTTCTCCAGGGAGGTGGTGGACTCCATGGTTCAGCATTTTAAGGTGACCATCTTTGGTGACTGTCTGCCAGTTTACGATGGGAAGAGAAGCCTTTACACTGCTACTCCACTACCTGTGGCCACTGGTGGGGTGAGACTCTACCTATACGTTTGAATGCTGGTGTTTCTTTTATTCTAGACCAACAAAAATATTGTTTAGCTTGACAAAGAATGCCAAGGACTCGAGTGTAGCAAGTGTGTTGTCTTTTATTTTGCCAGTTATTGTGTCTAGCCCACTCTAGCTGTTTTCACATATGCACTCCTGAAAATTTCTGGAGGGTTTAAGGCGGGCTGCCCCTGAAATCATTCTAATCTGGTTGTTCAAACATGCAACTCACAGCGGGAGACTTTCCCTGTCAAGACGGTCTCCAGAGGCAAGACATGGCATCCAAACAAAGACACAGAAGTGGCAGATGAAGCAACAGAGTCCGCTATACGATGCTACAATGAGAAAAAATATTTATATGTGAAGTTTGACAGAATGAGAATATTGGCAAAACAGCGGAGAAAAACATACTGGAACAGAAAACTTAATGCAGCAGTTTGATTACGAGCAACTTCGGAGATCAAACCTTTCACGTCCATGCAGTCTTTGATTGTGCACTGATCACAGGGAATAAATGTCAACCCCCCCCACTCGGGCACAGTGAATTTTCCTGATTATATTCTGCTGCGTTCACACATCGGCTCCCTCAGGCTTGATGCAGAAGAAACTCTGGATAGAGTCAGAAAGAAATTCAGCCGTTTGCGTTCACAGAGGCATCTCATACCGAAAACTTCAGGAGTTTGTGCATGTGTGACCAAGACTTCTTACTTAAAAATATACCGAAGCTAAATTATTATTTCACAAAAACTAGTGACACATCCTTTTTAATATTAATCAGGAGATTGTAATAACCTTTGTCTTCCTCTTCAGGTGGATCTGGATGTCACTCTTCCAGGTGATGGTGGGAAGGACCGCCCATTCAAAGTCTCCATTAAGTTTGTGTCTTTGGTCAGCTGGCACATGCTGCATGAAGTTTTGACAGGACGCGTCATGGCCGAGCCGGTGGACCTGGACAAACCGATCAGCACTAATCCTGTTCATGCCGTGGACGTCGTCCTCCGACACCTGCCCTCCATGAAGTGAGTTTCCTCTGTTTGCTCTCGCAGTGAAATATTTGAGATCATTTCTAGTTTTAAAATCTGAAGTTCAAATCGTGACTATTTCTAAAGATAATTACAGATGAGTACATTAATGCTGCAGCTAACCTTCACCATGTTATAGTTTGAATTGTCCATGAAAGAGAATAGTAATGAATTAAGCATGTGAAGAGGATTTCTTGCAGATTACTTCTGGTCATGAAATATGACCCAAGGATACTTGCATCCCGGAGGTCCTGAAGCTCCCTTAATTTATTATGCAGCATTTCAACCACAATGACTCACACATTGTAACAGGTGCAGTTTGTTAGAAGCAAACCTACAACCTGCATACCAAATTTTTCTGTTTTATTAGCTGGCTAAACTCCGCTTTGGATTCAACAACGAGCGAGTGCTCAAAAGCATATTTCATGTAACCAAACTCCGGATATGCCATTTGTTGAATCCATTAACCAGAATAGTATTTTGTGATCTAAAACCTTCCTATCCTCCTGTGGTTTCAAGCATAGAACTCAGACAGCACTTGTGTCATGCTGCACTCTGTGAACCGCCCACGAAATACAACTTTTATTTTTGCCCCCAACTAACCTCTGAGTCACCTTTCTGTCATCATCAGGTACACGCCCGTCGGGAGATCCTTCTTCTCGTCCCCAGAGGGCTACGATCACCCACTAGGTGGAGGACGAGAGGTTTGGTTTGGTTTCCATCAGTCTGTACGGCCAGCCATGTGGAAAATGATGCTCAACATCGATGGTAAGTCAGCACTGTTAAACTATATTATGTAGTGTGTCTGGTTTATCATTTTGAGAAATATGATTATCCACCTACATGGTGAGAGTTTGATGAGAGGATCGATATGGAGGCCTGCATCCACTAACAGCATTTTACTGGCTAGCAGCACCTGTTTTCATACATAATTAACACATTTGGGTGGCTTAGTGGTTAGTTTGCGCATTTCCAGGAAATTAAGCAACAAAACACAAAGATGTACGTAGGCAATAAGGCAGTTACATCCACCCTCTTATTACCGACTGGGTTTTCACTGCCTGGTTGGAAATCACCCAAGGCTCTGAACCGAGAAGTGACCTTTCTAATTTAAGTCTCCAAGTAAACCACAGTTTGAGTTTGACCTTGTCCTGTATTGTTTCAGTGTCAGCCACAGCTTTTTACAAAGCCCAGCCAGTCATCCAGTTCATGTGTGAGGTACTGGACATTCACAACATCGATGAGCAGCCGCGCCCACTCACTGACTCCCACAGGGTCAAGTTCACCAAAGAGATCAAAGGTAAGTACAAAGAAAAGGCTTGTGCTGCAGTGCCAGGCCTTACCTTGTATGGGAGATATTTGTGTCATCAAGTGAAATGCTTCTTCAGATGTTCTAAATCTACGAATAAAAGCTTGTTTACGTTGAGGCTTCTCCATCTTCACAGGTCTGAAAGTAGAAGTGACACACTGTGGAACCATGCGTAGGAAGTACAGAGTCTGCAATGTAACACGACGGCCTGCCAGCCTCCAGACGTATGTCTCCATATCACACCACTAAACCTGCCATCAAAGCTGTCGTTAGCTCAAATTAACGGGAGATTCTTGTTTCCTTCACATGCACAGATTTCCCCTGCAGCTAGAAAATGGTCAGACAGTGGAACGGACTGTGGCGCAGTACTTTAGAGAGAAGTACAACCTGCAGCTCAAGTACCCCCACCTGCCCTGCCTGCAGGTGGGCCAGGAACAGAAACACACCTACCTGCCCCTGGAGGTAAGGACTACAGCTTCAGCAGCTTCCGTGTCAGCTGTAAATCAATGCATCACTTGCTCTTTGTGAAATTAAATTGTATCCGAGTCAGATTGTGTAACAAACTTCTGTTTCATCTTCAGGTGTGCAACATTGTAGCTGGCCAGCGCTGCATTAAAAAGCTAACAGACAACCAGACGTCGACCATGATCAAAGCTACAGCTCGCTCTGCACCAGACAGACAGGAGGAGATCAGCAGGCTGGTGAGTGTCCTGTTCACCCGAGATCAACACCATCAAGATTTTGGTTTGTTTGTTTATTCTTGCTTTCCTTTTTCTTTCCTCTTAATTAAAACTACATTTCTTGCCCCTCAGGTGAGGAGTGCAAACTACGAGTCGGATCCGTTCGTCCAGGAGTTTCAGTTCCGTGTTCGAGATGAGATGGCTCAAGTGACGGGCCGAGTCCTTCCCGCCCCCATGCTGCAATATGGCGGCAGGGTGAGCTCTGAGCCATTTATGGTACCTTCCCCTTTTAAATCACGCTTCTTATGCACAAGTGTGTTTTTCTACATGTCTGTTTGTGTGTGTGAGAGAGAGACAGCAGGATTTCCTTTAGTTTAAAATGAGATCTCAAAAGTTAGAGTAATTGATCCTCATCCTTCACATTCACTCTTGATTCATTTGACACTTGACGGCTCAGAGTTATTTTCACACTCCAAAATGAGCTGCACTCATTAGTTGATTATATTTTTCTGTTTTGTGGGAAAACCCTGTTTCACTTCTTACATTGAATGCAGTGACACTGTTAAAATCACTGAATGCATCTTGTTAAAGTCAAACATCTTTTCTATTTGTGTGTGTGAACTTTTACTTTTTAAAATTTTCTGTTTTCTGCTACTTTACTGTTCTGTGCTGTTTGAGCTGATCATATCTAAAACTGCAATTTTAATTTAAAAGCTTTCCCTGTTTTTAACCTCTGCCATACCAAACAATCATTTGCACTACAATCTTAATGCATGACTTAAACAGAATCGAGCACAAATGAAACCTAAGATTTAATTTCTCCTGACCAGCCTGTCCATCATTTTTGGTTTATAACGTAATCCGTAGCCCTTGATCCTGAAATCCCACCATTTCCTTTTGAATTCTTGAATCCATACTTTGTCTGTGTCCTTGTACTGTATGTGTCTGTGTGACTGTCAGCCCCAGCAGATCAACCCTGCACTGTCGTTGCAGAACCGCACAGTGGCCACACCCAGCCACGGGGTGTGGGACATGAGAGGGAAGCAGTTTCACACCGGAGTGGAAATCAAGATGTGGGCCATCGCCTGCTTCGCCACACAGAGGCAGTGCAGGGAAGAGATCCTAAAGTGAGTCAAGATACAATTTAAGATGTGATACGATAATGACTGTTACTCGCTCAGTTTTGGCAAAACTATTAAAGTCATGAAACCCAGAGTGAACAAGAGAGGGGATGGATAATCCACATGTTGGTACATGTTGGAAGTTATACAAAATGAATAAAACAAAATCTAGCATCAGTTTATTTAGAGAATTCGTACTAAAGTCTAAAAGTGAATTTTACACTTATACATTGATTTTCAAAACTGCTTCAGGCAGAAATGTTCCGTCTATTAGTTTAAAATATTAAGTTTGTGTCAGATAACGAACTATTCACTGATATGCCACATTAACCAAGAAACATCCCCCCCCTCATGTTTAGGAGCTTCACTGACCAGCTGCGTAAAATCTCAAAGGACGCTGGGATGCCAATCCAAGGCCAGCCATGTTTTTGTAAATACGCCCAGGGAGCTGACAGCGTGGAGCCCATGTTCAGACACCTGAAAAACACTTACGGCGGGCTTCAGCTCATCATCGTGATCCTGCCTGGAAAGACGCCCGTATACGGTACACAAATGAAAAATAAAACTATGCTTCTGGCAATGTTGACAATATAAGAAAACAGCAAAATCCATTTGCACATCTGTCTTAATGCTGCTATTCATAAACATTGTACATGAAAATATATTATAAAGTGAATGTAAAGTGAAACGGGTGTCCGATCTCCGACCCACAGCTGAGGTGAAGCGGGTTGGCGACACCCTCCTCGGCATGGCCACTCAGTGTGTGCAGGTGAAGAATGTAGTCAAGACGTCTCCTCAGACCCTTTCGAACCTCTGCCTGAAGATCAACGTCAAACTGGGAGGAATCAACAACATCCTGGTTCCACACCAACGGTAAAATCAACACAAGAAACAATTTCTTCTCAAATTGATTAAAGTTTTTGTCATCTGATCGCTGAATTTGTCTGTAGGCTGTTTGAAAGACATGTAGCAACATTTTACCTTGTGTCTCTTAAATCCACGCAGACCCTCGGTGTTCCAGCAGCCTGTCATCTTCCTCGGGGCGGACGTCACTCATCCTCCAGCAGGAGACGGGAAAAAGCCATCTATTGCAGCGGTGAGACTTCACCTAGAACAAGAAGCTACTTTGATTACAAGCTTGTATTTTCTATCAGTCACTATTCATATCAATCAGTCTCATAACTGTTCTCAATCTGTAATGTGTTTGCATATGATTTAAGCTTCTGACCTCTCTGTAATGTTGTTGTTCCTCTCCAGGTGGTAGGCAGCATGGACGCCCACCCCAGCAGGTACTGTGCTACAGTGCGGGTCCAGAGGCCCAGACAGGAGGTCATCCAGGACTTGGCATCCATGGTGCGAGAGCTCTTGATCCAGTTCTACAAATCGACCCGCTACAAGCCGACTAGGATCATCTTCTACAGAGACGGAGTGTCGGAAGGACAGTTCAGACAGGTAGAACCATTGACCTGTTCTGTTTTGCACTGAGCAAATAATTCACGCCTGTTTATAAAAGTGAATCCCTCAAGGTTGAAACTATAAATGAGCTGTTATTTCTTTCTATGGACGAGGTTTGAGGTTGAATTCTTGATGATTAACAGTTTGCAAGAGAGTATGACGGGGCATATTAAGGTGCTCTACTAGTTTTACTTTCACTTTGGAGTAGAACGGCTAGCACTGACATGTCTTTATCTTAGTTATCTAAAGCTCCTTTGTTTTATATTTTTGTATCCAGGGAACTTGTTTTAAAACTGTGTGTGAAATTATTCTACCAATGCGGACTGTTCAGTCTGTTATTTAATGTAGAAATTCTAACTTTCACTGTGCAGGTGCTGTATTACGAGCTTCTGGCTATCAGGGAGGCTTGCATCAGTCTAGAAAAGGACTATCAGCCGGGGATTACTTACATTGTTGTGCAAAAACGCCATCACACGCGACTCTTCTGTGCAGATCGCAACGAGCGGGTGAGTAACACAACTGGGTTCTTCTCAGGTAGCAGATATCAACGGCACTTTGAGAGTCCTGTAATGTTTATGGATTACCTCTCTCCATCTGTCTGATGTCTTTGGTAAGTTTCAGTTGGAGGATTTTCTTCCAAATGGAAGAGAAGGGAAACGTTTAGTATACTGTTCACTGTTGAGGCCTGTTAGGCGTTTCTTTTAGGCAGCGTGACCTTCTCTTTAACGATCTAATTTAATCACATCTCCTCTCAGGTTGGACGAAGTGGAAACATTCCTGCCGGCACCACAGTGGACACAGACATCACTCATCCCTACGAGTTTGACTTTTACCTCTGCAGCCACGCTGGAATCCAGGTAAAATATGACAGTCAAAACTAATCTTAAAAGGTATAAAATACAACATGTATAACATTGATTAAGCAGATATCATAAACTATCATATCTACAAATATTGTTAAGTAATGACCTACTAGACAAAGAGTGAAGACAAACTGCCTCTGTGTTTGTTGTTCTGAACACTGTTCACACTGACCGAACGGAGCTTCCTTATGAAAGATGTTTGTGTCACTCAGAGGCTCAAACTCAAACTTCATATGTTTTTGTTCCATGAATCTCTCCCTCTCCAACGGTTAGTCCTGCCACCATATGGGGTTGAGAGAGACAGCCCCTCTAACTCAGGGGCGCTGTATGTAGAGGCTCATTGAGCGACAACTGAAGGAGAACCAACAGACTTTCCAAGCATAAGAAAACAGGGAGGGAGGGGAGGCTAAAGAAGAGTTTGTTTTGGTCTGAGAGACTGGTGCTAAAGTGCCGCATCTACTGGATATCTTCTCTCAGAGTCTCTATTAAGCATTAAAGGTAGTCATTGTTTTTGAGATTTGAGGCGACGACCAAAGACTGAATATGAATTGGACACTTAGATATCACCTATTGGTTTGTGTACTATTTAAAGCCTCAAGTTTGGGATTGAATGGCCATATGACCATATTTGTACAAAGGGGGGGAGGGGATGTTTTGCTGATTAAGGTCTATTTGAGGCTGTTGTAAGATATTCTTTCTATTTGTGAAACTTGCTTTATGTTATGCATACTAAGATTACCTTCTGGATAAATATCAGAGTATCTTAGTTGTTGGGTGATTGAGAATGTATCCTTTTCAGTTTGTCAAACACCCAGAACTATATTTAGCAGCTGGCTGTTTGTCCTCTCTCTGTGGAGCGTTGTCCTCTGAGATGTTATTAAGTCTAATTTCCCCCCTCCTCCAGGGTACGAGCAGGCCCTCTCACTACCATGTTCTGTGGGACGACAACTGTTTCACCGGTGATGAGTTCCAGCTCCTCACCTACCAGCTGTGCCACACTTATGTCCGCTGCACGCGCTCCGTCTCCATCCCAGCACCGGCCTACTACGCCCACCTGGTGGCCTTCCGCGCCCGCTACCACCTGGTTGACAAAGAGCATGACAGGTGGGGAGAACTCTTTAAACAGCATCGACTTGTGGGTGCCAAAACTGACGCAAACATTAAGTTCCCCAAATGAACTCTAATGTGGACACTACTGAATGGAAATAACGTAGACTTTGTTTCATCTTACTGATTATTCTTTCCCTCTCTTTTCTTCCTGACAGCGCGGAGGGCAGCCACGTCTCAGGGCAGAGTAACGGCAGGGACCCCACGGCGTTGGCCAAGGCTGTCCAGATCCACCACGACACACTGAGGACCATGTACTTTGCCTGAGCCCCCACATCCCTCCATCTACTCGGACAGTCCTAGTGCCCGCCTTCCATCAGCTGGCTCATCTCAAATGACGTGCCCCGACTGTTGCGACTGCAGGCTGTGTAAGGATGTAATAAGCCAGAGAGGAGTTACAGCCACATTATGCAATAAGAAACCAGCCAATCGTTTCTGCTCTCTCTCTCACCTTCATCTCCTCTGCTGTATTCAGTTCAAAGTGGATTCTGTCTCCTGTTGACACTCACACGTCACAACAACGGCTTCCAGTTTTCACAGCAGCTCAAAGTTTCTTTTTGCTTTCTTTTCTTTCTTTCTTTTTTTTTTCACGTGTTAAGAAATGGCAGAGCAGCAGGGAATCCAAAAACTTGGGCTTGAAGCAGAACCAGTGAGGACCCGCCTCGCTCTGTCACCTCACATTGAGCCTCATGTTGCTGGTTTATAGTGTAGATGGTTTTACATGTTTGTTTGTGGGGTTTTCTGCTTCTTTAGATGCAAAATTGTTTGTGTTGTTTCTCTCTATCTCTCTATCTCTCTCGAGCAAATGTGTGATTACAATGGCAGCATGTTAGTCAAGTACGCTCGTGACACAGAAGTTTCGCCCTCTTGCTGCCTTTGTGGTTACTCTTCTGTCTCCCTTTAAGCCCGTGGGTCCTCTACCATCACAGACAGTGAATGATATCTTTATTTTATTTTACGCAAAGCCACACACAGCCATCGATTGTGTATCGCATGAGGCCTTACTGCGAGGCGAGGTGCACAAACAGGACTGTTAGAATACAACGCCATGACCACAAAATGAACAATTTTAAACTTTTTTTTCTTCTAGTTCAGCTCGGTACAAAGTGTAAAAACCAAACGGTCTGTGTGTTTTATTCCTCTTACTATTTATACCTTCTTTAATTCTTTTTAACTTAAACTAACATCCAGCAATAGTTCAGAGCAGACGGATTATTACCACCTCAAAACCTTTGGACTTCTCCCAATTTTTAAACGAGGATCTGACCAATGAAGTCGTCACGTTCTCCTTCAGTGCAATAAGGTGTTAGTGCAGAGCGAGCAGGGTCAGCGCTGAGTGTTGTCGATGAGGATTGGCGTGCTGAAATAGTTTTTTTTTTTTTTGGCAAGTTATGTGACTTTGGATGAAGGATGTTCAGTGTTTGGCATTCTGTTGATCATTAAGGACTGAGGCTGCTGATGTGAGCGTGTGTGGCTCAGTCCTGATGTCGGACAGTGTTTGGAGAGATTCCACAAAGTGCCTGAATTGTTGGTTAGAGATTAAGACGTTGGAGGGACAGAAGGTTTTTAACTGTATGTTGGTTCAGTTCTCTGTAAATGCAGAATCCGAGTGAGCCTGTCAAAACATTGCACTGCCCGACACATGGGGCTGGACTGTAGCTGATCTCGAAGCATGAGCGCGTATTCCTAATAATAATTTCCTCTCTCACCATGAGGAAATACTCACTTTCATATCCTCTTCAAACTCTTTGTTTCCACAATATTCTGTTATCAAAAACATTTAATCATCGCACTTAAAAAAACAAAGCTTATACTAAAGGGCTGCAACGATTATGTCATTTGTTCACTAATTAATTGCTAACTTTTTTGATATCTTTTAACCTGAGACATTTTTGAAGAACTCTTTGATTCCATGTTAAAGTGTAAGGCCCTTTTTCATCTATGACGGGGGGGGGTGGGCGGTGGGAAGAATAGCTTTGATAATATCACTAAACGCTGATGGGGTTTTAAAAATATTAAAGACATGACACAGCCGTATCTACGTTTTTAACGCAGCATCACAAAAAGGAAAGTTTAGGATCATTAACAAAAACATTTCTCGTTGGAGACGATAAAAGAATCTCCTCCTGATCACAAAATGATTGAAAGCAAAGTTTTCTTCTCAAACATGAATTAGTTTGAGCATTTTGTTCCACCGATCATCAGCGAGGATATAATCATGCACCGCTTCATTGACTTTTGCTTAAAAGAGATTAATCAAGTCTAGTTGTATATTTTTCTGTCGATCAGTTGTCGCTCTAGTCCAGAGACAGAACCTTTTGTAGACATGACTTTATATAATAAAAGAAAACCGAAGAAAGTGTTTTCTGCTGCACCCTGGAGGTTTATTAAAGAGCAAATTCTAACAAACTATTGAGAGTAGAATCATGTGAAAGAGGACATGCTCTGGCAATAATCAAACATTCTGAAGTGTGTCAAAAGCTTTTTAAGCCTTCTATCAGAAAACAGTCGTCAGACGATTGTCTTAAGATTTTCAACACATGGAGAGCGGTCTGTCGAGGCCTCGCAGTGTAAAACAGACACAGCCTTCAGGTTTCATCACTTGGACCAAACCAACGTGCCTGGTCAGGGGGAAAGGAGGAGGAGGAGGAGGAGGGGGAGAGGAGGGAGGACTTAGGGGGAGCTGAGGGGTCGTTGCTGTATCATGTGTTGACAGCTCTTTACTCTCACAGACTTACAGCATGGTGTTGAACGGCTCTGCTAACCGCTAACTGTGCTAGCTACTTGTCACTGAACCAAACTGAAGCTGCTATTAGAAAAAACACATTTATTTAATATGTCATCAGAAATACATATAGGCTTTATTATATTAATATTAAGAGAACAAGAGGATATGGTATTTGACTGCACTTAAAATGATGCATGTGTTTATTGCTTTGGAGCAGAGTTTGTGCTTGATTATTTTGCCTCTAGATAAAGCATTTTAATTCTAAGAAATCCGATAACCCCCCCCGTGTGTTTGATGTCAGTTTGAAGTTGTTTCTAATTGTCAGACATTACCAGCATTTGATTTTACTTGAAAGAGAAATGAGTGGAGGGCATGTTTATTGTTGGTTCTGCTTGATTTCTGAAAGTCTATAGAGGTATAATTAGAGCCTTATTAAGAGATCCATTTCTGCGCTCGTGATGCCACGTACAGTAAATCCACCTCTGGAGCCTGTACGCAGCAGGACTCTGTCTTATCAGATGCCTTTTTCCTTCAAATTAAAAGAATTTTTAAGTCCGGATTGAGATATATTTATATGTAAAGATTAAAGATATTAATGTAATGCACACACCACTTATTTTTTCTAACAAAATCCTATTAGAGACAGAGGCGTGCTAGCTGTAGTGAACCATGGCGTTTAATAATCGTCTGTGAGATTTCTTTTTTTTTTCTTCCAAATTTAATAATGCAATAGGTTTACTTACTTGTGTGTTTGCTGGTTGACCCGCTACAAAGTGGAGACTGTTTTTAGTCATGTAAGTGATCAGATGAACCTTCACCCCTCCTCTGCATAGACCTGTGAAATCCTCCCTCTCGTTGTATCATCTCAAAAGCTCCCTCGAAGACGTTTCTCAACGAGAGCTGCATTAAAGATTGTCTTTTTTTTTTTTGTTCATTCTTTTTGCATTTTCATGAGCGGAGGAGGGATGAAAGTTCATCGTCGGACATATTGGTCCGTTATCAGACTGTGCCTTTCATGATGGTGCTGAAAACGAAACGAGTTAATCAAAGAAATCTTAACTTTCAGAAAGGCCGCAGAGGCCCAGAGTCTACATTGATAAGTATATATTGATACATGACGATACTGTAAGGTGTGATTGTCTGTGTGTGTGTGTGTGTGTGTGTATTTTGAGTGTGTGTGTGTGTGAATTCCTCTGACATATGCCAAGAACACATAAATATGCAGACCTGATCAGTGTGGAGCTGACCGGACCAAAAGGCCTGTGGGGATCAGTTTCAGACGACGGGCACTCTCAGCACAACCCAAAAAGTAGAACTTATAAAACGAGGGAAACGTTCTCGACTCTGTAGGTAACGAGTAGATCTGTGTAGACCTCATGTAGCATTATTTATTCAACTCTTGTTTCCATAGGGGAGATGGCGCTTCCCATACTGCCGGTTAAACACGTTTCTCCTCCTTTTCAGTGATTCATCTTCTCTTGGGCGGCAATAATGAAGATTCTCAGTATGCGCGACGCCATATCTGACCCATTTACGACTTTATCTTTTAATGTGAATTGTCCGCGTTTACATACCTGGGGTAATTCTTCGGTTAGTTTGTTCCTTCACGAGTGCCCGTCCCCAAGGTTAAGGGATTCCCCACAATAAATAAATCTTGAAACCTCTGTGGTCGGCTGCATATCATATTTAAAAACAAGACAAATGATGTTTGGGTTTCACAGTTTATTAATGTGCTTGTATTATGTTAAATGGTGTCACTTTTAGAAGTCAAACTGTACGTCAAGACCTTGTCTTAACACTCATCTGATCCTGGTCCTAAGTTGAGCCTTTTTATTTGGTTGTCATATTTAATTTTTTGGAATAAATACTCAATGTATGAAACGTGTGTCAGTTGTGTTTTGCTTCATGCTGTTAGAATTTTCAAAATCAAAGTTAAGTGCGCCTAAATTTAGTAGAGCCCGACGGATAAATCAGCCAGCCGATATTTGCGTATCCAGTGACTATCGGTATTGGCTATTTTTATTGCTGATATTAGATTTATTCACCCAGTGCACCGCTTCACCAACATGTCCATCTGTTATCTGTGTTTTCATGTACTCACCCTGCATAGGAGCGCTTCATTCTTTATTATTGTACAGGAAATGGCCACAGGGCGGTTATCAGTGTCTCTCTAAAGTCACCTGAGAGCAGGACTTTATAACAGCCGCATCGTGTCCTCTCTGTGTTTACACATCCAGCTGTCTGAACTCATAACTCCAAATTAACTCTGCAGTGGACCTCACATCCCCTGGCTTTTAATTGCTTTACCCCTCGCTCCTATAAAACTCTCATCTTTGATGAAACAGTGTTGATGTTGTGCTGTGAGTCACAGAAAAGGATATTTACTCATGACACTGTGTGACCTGATGGGGAAACTTTCCCAGCATGTCTTATACACAAAGGTCACAGAGTGCGGCTGTGATCGGAGATTAAAATGAACATGATTGGGTTACCATGATAACCCCAGTTCTCTGAATCAACATATCTATTATTGCTTGTTTGACTGAGTTACATGACTCACATTGGAGCACTTTGATTGGCATGAACCTCTTCTGAATTATTCATTAGAAACGTCCCACTTCGATCTGGTTATCCAAGAATCTTTTCCGCATTTATTTCTCTTTTCTTTGAAAGGTTTCCAAGTGGCAACCTATGGAGGTGAAAAATGTCAATGTAGAAGTGCAAAATCCTGCAGTTTGCCGAGGGTCCGCCTGAGGAAGAGGAAGTCACACACAAAACCACATTCAAAAAAGCATAATATAGCATGTTTACAGCCTGGTATAAAAAATGAAATAGGTGTAATTAGTTATTGTCATCATGGGCACACACTGTATGGGGGGGGGGGGTTCTCATAACGCATCTGTGTTGATTTTATGAATGGTACGCGTTATCCATAGTTAAATGCAAAGCTGACCTGACTGACAGGCGGTCACGGTTTAACAGTTTGTCAGGAGGCTTAAACCCCGCCTCAGCTCCAGCTCTCAGCTTGTTGTTAGGATGAGACAGGATTTCCAGCATGGCGGCTGCTGCAGATGAGCCTCCAGAGCAACCTGCGGTAACAGATGGCTGACATCACTCAGGCTTCATCCATTAATATTTACAGTCCATAAAGATGTCACAAATATTTATTAACACCGATGTGTGACGGTTAATCTCAACTATGTTTACCAGGTTTAATAATGTTGACATTCTTTCTGGATAAAGTTTATCACTTTATCACTGGTAGGCCTTAAGTACCACAGGGTACTTACAGGGTAGCACATACTGTATGAGCGTGCTAAGTAAACAAAATAATAAATTGAGGATTCACTTGCAAAAGGAAATGTTTATTTCATCTCTTAATGTGTCTTTACACAATTTTTCTTCTGTAAATTGTGGAACATATAAAATTCAAACTGAGCTCCGTTCTCTGTTAAAGTGAAATAACAATTCTCAGCCCTTTTATAAATCTTTACATTTTTGCATGAAATAAAGAAAACCACTCTGTGAAAAAAACGCCTGAACTTTAATTCGCTCTCCATAACTTTCAAGGAACAGGTGTTTTATTGTGTTTTTCAGTCTTGGAGGGTTTCAGCTGAGGAGGCCCCCCACACCTCAGGATGTGCAGCTTGGCCATGATGTTCCTGCAGCAGTGTTTCAACATGCTCCTGACAGCCGCTGACGAGAAGTAGAAGATAAACGGATCCAAGCAGGCGTTTAAGGTGCTGGAGAGCAAAGCCACATTTCTCCACCCTTCGCTCTCGTTGCGAACGAAGCCCACCACATGGGAGGCGTTGTACGGCACGAAACAGACGGCGAACACTAGCAGCGTGCCGAGCGCCAGACCGATGGCGCGCAGCCTCCGTCGCCTGCTGATTTTGGGTAGACGGGACAGGATACGGATGAAGTTGACGTAGCAGAAGCAGCATATGAGAAAGGGGAGGCAGAAGAGAACGAGGAAGAGCTCCAAGCGGACAGGCAGCAGGATGTGGAGCTCGTCTGTGGTAAATTCCAGGTAGCAGGTGGGTGGAGGCGGGGTAGGGCTGTCGGGGATGCTGCCATTGTTGAAGCTGTTTGCATCTTTGTTCCACTGGGAGTAGGCCATGATGTAGACGATGATAAGGTTCAGACAGGTGACCAGCCAGATAGCGATGCTGGCTAACACGGCGTATCGAGGTCTGCGCCACACAGAGTACCTGAGGGGGAAGACGACCCCGAGGTAGCGCTCCACCCCCACAGCTGTGAGGAGCAGGGTGCTGTTGTAGATGGTGGCGTAGAACACAAAACCGGTCAAGGGGCACAGGGCGTAGGGCAGCATCCACGCCATGTCGTCAGAGGCCTCCTTCATTTTGAAAGGCAGGAACGCGAGGAAGATGAGGTCAGAGATGGTGAGGTTGAGGAGGAGGACGTCGATCGGGGCTGCCTTGCGACGCACCTTGCGGAAGAAGGTGCAAAATGCCAGGATGTTGGCAGGGACCCCCATCAGGAACGTGAGGATGTAGATGGAAAGCAAGAGTCGGCTGCACACCATGGCAGCTGCCATGATCAGACACTGGGAACAAGAAAACAAGAAGCACGACTCATTAAAGGAAAATATTTTAACTCGGCATCATCATATCTTCAAAGAGCTCAAAGTGCCTCGTTACCCCTCTGCAACATCACGCTCTCAGAAATCCTGTTGTACCTAAAGTCTCCAAAAGTAGTATGGGAGGTAGAGCCTTCAGTTATCAGGCTGCTTTTCTTTGTAATCATCTACCAGGTGAAGTCTGGGAGGCAGCCATCCTCTCTATACTTTAAGGAACATGTTACATTTCTTCTTTTGATAAAGCTTAATGTTAGTTTTACTGTTGGCACCATGTTAATTTAAAAAAAGGAAAGATTCAATGGAAGATTTAAGTCAGATTTTCTGAATAATTAACTCTTTAGACATTGGCTAAATCCATCCATCCATCCATCTATCCATTTATCCATCCATCATCTGTCCATCCATCCATTTATCATCCATCTATCCATTTATACATCCATCCATCCATCTATCCATCCATCTATTTATCCATCCATCCATCCATCCATTTATCCATCCATCCATCCATCTATCCATCCTTCCATTTATCCATCCATTTATCCATCTATCCATCCATCTATTTATCCATCCATCCATCCATCCATTTATCCATCCATCCATCCATCTATCCATCCTTCCATTTATCCATCCATCCATCCATCCATCTATTTATCCATCCATCCATCCATCCATCCATTTATACATCCATCCATCCATCCATTTATCCATCCATTTATCCATCTGTCCATCCATCTATTTATCCATCCATCCATCCATCCATTTATCCATCCATCCATCCATCTATCCATCCATCTATCCATCCATCTATCCATCCTTCCATCTATCCATCCATCTATCCATCCATCCATCCATCCATCCATCCATTTATCCATTTATCCATCCATCTATCCATCCATCTATCCATCCTTCCATCTATCCATCCATCTATCCATCATTCCATCCATCCATCCATCCATTTATCCATTTATACATCCATCTATCCATCTATCCATTTATACATCCATCTATCCATCTATCCATCCATCTATCCATCCATCCATCCATCCATTTATCCATCCATCTATCCATCCATCCATCCATCCATCCATCCATTTATCCATCCATCCATCCATCCATTTATCCATTTATCCATCCTTCCATCTATCCATCCATCTATCCATCCATCCATCCATCCATCCATCCATTTATCCATTTATCCATCCATCTATCCATCCATCTATCCATCCTTCCATCTATCCATCCATCTATCCATCATTCCATCCATCCATCCATCCATTTATCCATTTATACATCCATCTATCCATCTATCCATTTATACATCCATCTATCCATCTATCCATCCATCTATCCATCTATCCATCCTTCCATTTATCCATCCATCTATCTATCCATCTATCCATCCTTCCATTTATCCATCCATCTATCTATCCATCCATCCATCCATCCATTTATCCATTTATCTATCCATCTATCCATCCATCCATCCATCCATTTATCCATCCATCTATCCATCCTTCCATTTATCCATCCATCCATCCATCTATCCATTTATCATCCATCTATCCATCTATCCATTTATACATCCATCTATCATCCATCCATTTATCCATCCATCCATCCATCTATCCATTTATACATCCATCTATCATCCATCCATTTATCCATCCATCCATCCATCTATCCATTTATCATCCATCTATCCATCCATCCATTTATCCATCCATCCATCATCTTTACTGTTAATCCCATTCAGTTAAACCAATGAAAAGTGCAAAAACCTAATATCTATGTTTAAATGTTTTAAGAAGATCTACACTGCGTTGCACCAAGCTAACTGGTTCAGACTAAATAAGTACAGTCTCACAAATGGGTAAGATACAATTAAATAAGGCTACATAACAAACTAAAACAGCTGTTGGACATAAACTGGACATCGTGACAAGACATCTTGGTCAATATGACAATGAATCATTTTCGAAGAGGCGACAAGTTCACAGACACACCTTATTTAAAAATACATAGGCCTATGTAAAGACTTAAAGCTAATCAATGAAAGGTCCTGAACACAATTCTAACTTATGAGTGATTCAACTCACCTCCGTCAAGCTTTAAAGACGTGGCTCTCCATCACTGTGTAGCCGTCCTGTGTGATGTTGCAGCTGTGTTTGTGTGCTCCTGGAAGCAGACTGTTTGATCAGATCAGAGTACGCATGTTCTCATGAATATCTGCTATCTCACCTCCAACAGGAAATTTAATAAGCTTCTGGACACAGTCTTT